GTCATTTCCAAATTATCTTCACTATTTGTCAGTGGTTGATGACATGTCTTCGTGAAGCTGGCGGATATAAAATATATTTACATTTCTTTATACGGTTCTCGGGTGGTCATGTATGGAGACAGTAATGGCCATTTCTGCAACTGCCTCAAAAGTGAGCTAAAAATGGAAAACAATTTTTGAGATAACCTATTAACAACACAATTCAACATACTGAATGTGAAATGACGTAAAAGTATCGATTTGTTGCCCGGCAATGAAAGATAAATCAGTTTCCTTCCAAACATTGTTTCAGAGAAATTTTAGAGAAGAAAATGGAAATTGGGATTGAAATTATTCCGTACCTCGCAGCTGTGGTGGCAGTCGTCCTAATCTTCATAGCTGAACTTCACAGTAAGTAACGAATTGCCACGCGTTAATGAACAGATACGGGGTTTGGGCTCATTATTGGATTTAATGAACAATCATTACTTGTAACTACAAATGATTATAATAATCTCACCAATTTACATACTCTACAAATAAGTACGGCACGCACTAGATATTCTCAGTTTGTGATAGCCTTCACTGGTCGTTAGCAGATTACGCCAAAGTCAGATTCACATGGCGACCGATGGTCATTTGATCAGTCCATCTTTTTGTCTATTACCCTCTGGAGCCCACGACCAGATCGTAGTTACTGTTAGACAGTTACGATTTGATTTTGTCAATAATGAGCATCCTCTCTGACAATATGATGGGCCTGTCATTTGTCGTGGTCATTCTCCATCCATTTTCAGTGTTCTTAATGTTTACACTTTTACATATACATTACATGGTATAATAACGAATATATAAATGTCATGCATACAAGGCCTCTGTCAGTTCATGCTGAAAATAGCAGATCATGCTCTATCTTAAGTAGCTCACCCTATAACGGTATCACAGTCACTTGAACGGTCGTACGCTTGACCTTCAACAACTTTAAGCCTCTGTCGGTTCTATAAAAGTGGTAATTTGGAATGAAGTACATCTCATGGTGTTTCAGATTTCTTCGAAAACAAAGCCACATCTACTCATAGAGATAGGTTCTGCAGCAGCTTACTGCGTTCATAGCAATGAATCTCAACGCCATTCACATTAAATGCCATGAATTCGAGATGTCCCTTTTGTCTTCATCATATAACCTCGGTACGTACATCGAAGAAAACATCGTTTCCCACAGTTCCTTCAATAAAGCGTAACGTATCTGTTGCCGCGAGAACTTGTTTGCTGAGCCATTGTCTAGCAATGTCTTTTCTGGGTCCAAGCCGGAATAGCGGACCCAGGAAAGGCATTCATTTCTAGGTAACAGGCGGTAAACACACTCCCGCGGTAACGAACACGCGAACAGTAATTAGGTTAGAGGTCGTTGAACATGTGGCTCAACAACTCATGAACTGTGCTAGACAATGCTTTCTGTACGGTCCGTGCTGAGGCTATACAACGACCATTGCATTGTTCAGTAATGACTTACGCTTGTCCCTTCTTGGAATTAGTGGCAGACACCTGCCCATAAAATATCAGTGTCTGCAAAACCATTGCACATCGTTGGAAATATTCCAAGGTGCACACCTGTCCGCGATTTGCTCACAGCATTCAATCTCCCGTATATATACGATAATATAACAAAATTGTACAGGAAACCAGCAGAAGTCACACAAAATCATGAGAATGTGTTGTTCGCGGTATATAACAAAGTGAAGCCAGGCGTAGAAAATATAAGAGACTTGAACTTGGTGGTGGCCAAGCTTACGACCATTCAAGTGACTAAGCTGCCATGATAGCATAATATATATTGTAACGTGTTTCGTTACCGAAGACGCCGTAGAGATGGTTAAATGGGTTTATTTAACAATCTACAAATAACGGCTACAATTAATTATCTCACAGTTGCGGGGTTTCACACTTTATAACCCTATGCGCAAATCAGCTCACTCCGTGTTCAGTAGTCTACACGTATGCAGTAGGGAAGCTGTGTATCACTGTATCACACACTCCCAATTACACAATCACACACACGTCCGGTTCTTCTTTCCGCGACGGTTGTTATACTCCACTATAGTCGGCTGACTGGAGAACTGTTGATAACACACTCGCTCGTCGACTACTTAACTCAGCGATGTCCACGTTATAACTGACTCCTAGCTGCTGTGCAGTTCCTTATATATCCGCCGTGGTGCCTGTTACGTGCCACGTCACAGTAGGAAGCGGTTACTGGTACGTAGTGTTGCGCGTTACGTCACCGCGGAGGGGCGGGAGGGAGCGCTTCGTTACCGCCACGCACCTGTGGCCTGAGTTGCCACGTCGCTGCTGGGTAGGGAGGGGGTCTCCGTTCTGCAACATGTTACAATATGTATGTACGACAGGCATGATCTGCTCTTCAAAGCTTGTACTGACAGAGGACTTGTGTGTAGTGCAAAGGGAATTACTTTAAATAACATGCCCTTAAGTTCGAAATGTACACTTGACAAAAGGCCAAGCACATTCAACAGAGACAATCCTATCTTCTCGTCAAAGAGGATGTTACAGGAGGACTCTTGCCGCAAGAGTTTAGTTGAAGAAGAAAATCTCTTCTCCTAAGTCTCGAAGGACTTGACGCCAAGGTGAACTGATTCTCCGTAAACCGCCAGTCGTAAAGTAAATCTGACTTTGATTCTGATTTTTCGTATGTATACGATTATATAAATTAATTGTGCAGGCAACAAGCAGAAGTCATAGAAAATCATGAGAATGAATATGTCCGCGGTATAGGACAAGGCAAGCTTTTCCTTGTTATTAAAGTGTCCGTCAGTAATGCAAAAAAAATCGTTAAAATATATATAAGACTTCTAAAATACAAAATACCTTAAAATTATTTTAGTTCTACATATGTTTGCGACATGTTTCGGCCTCATATGGGCCATCATCAGGCTTCTATGCACGACGTCGTGAGTTGTTACGTCTCATAAGCAGAATAGAGTCTTGCGCTTTCTTTGCGGGTATCAGTTTTGTGTGCCGTGTTATACTTGCATGTGTGTTATTCTAGTTCGGTCTTCCTGTAAACTAAAGGCAAGGCCAGGCACGCAAAATACAGGTGGCTTAAATTTGACGTTACTCAAGCTTACGACCGTCCAATTGACTATGCCGCCGTTGTATTATAAGATACGTAAGATTGACATTATCTGCTTTACAAAGTGTAGACTGATAGAGGACTTACATATTGTGAAAAAAGGGAGAATTTTCAATAACATGCTACACTTGCGATACATACATTTGACGAAGAGTCAAGCATATTCATAGGAGAACCCTATTTTCTCCTTAGAGAGGATGTTACATAAGGACTATGACCGGAAGGGTTCAGTACAGAAAAATGTCTCTGATCGTAGTTCTCATGGGACTTGACGCCAAATCGATATAATTGGGGTAAGCAGCCAGTAGTAACGCAACTTTGCCTGTAACTTTTTTCTTTTTGGCATGAGCTGTAAGTGAGCAGTTGCAGTTTGTGGTTCACCATGAGAAATGTCCGCAGTTCAGTTCAGTTCAGTTCAATTTATTGTAATATTCCATCAATCAAGAACACGCTACAAATGTCGCCCGTCTGATGCAGAACCTGTCACTGATATAAAAAGACACCAAATACTCGTACTATATACGCTTGGAATATTAAAGCGTCAGTCATAAAATAACAAATCAAGACAACTCAACGTAATACACTGTGAATTTGAAAATAAATCAGTCACTAAATACTGTAACGTGTTTCGTTACTGAAGACAACACTCGGATTGTTAATTGGTTTATTTAACAACCTACAAGTCGTAACTACAATTAATTATAATACTCTTGCGGGTTTACAAAATCTACAAACATTACACACTATTCTATTCACTCTGTCCTCGGTAGTCTTCACGTAGATATAACGTGGGAGCTATACAAGTGTCACTGAATTACACACCCGCAATACCTTCTCAGTTATCACAAATTATCACTGAGTATCACACAAAAACTCTTCTAATCACAAGTCCGGTTCTTCCCGCGACTGCTGCTATATTTCAACTGTCTCCCTAGGCAGTGTAGTACTCTTATAAATCCTCAGCCCGACAACGGGAAAACGCCTCGCTTCCTGGTTGCCTAGTCGTGTTTACTGATTGCCTAGCAATGCTGTAGGTATTTGTTTAGGGCTGGGTGGTAATCACGGTATTCCTTGTTACGTCACCGCGGCAATGGTTGCCTGGAGCAGCTGCTCCTCTTCCACGTCACCGCTGAAGGAGGGGTGTTTACCGAGCATTGAGTGGTAATGGAAGGAGTGGGGGTATCTGACATCACTCACACACCGCGGAGTTTACGTGACCCCTACTTCCCGTTGCGCCATCCACGTCACAATACTAATGTATACGATCAGCATAAAAGTATATTATGTAAGAGCCAACAAAAGCCCTGTGAAACATTTTACATTCAAATCATTAATTACCGATGCTTTATAATTAATTTAATAAAAACCTAAAATCTATATAAATAAAACTGTAAGAGGCATAATAAAATTACTTACAATGCCTGTGATAAGTATATAGTATCATAATTACCAAAGGGAATAAAATATCCATTTTAATTATTGAAAAAAAACTCCTGCAATGAGTAAAAAGAATTTTCTAGTAAGTACTTTTTTAATGAAGATTCAAACAGTTTCTTCTTATCTATGATGCCTTTCAAATAGGATAGAAGCTGATTAAAAATCTTAATGCCCATGTAATAAACACCTTTTTGGTAGACAGACAATCTTGGTTGTGGGAAATGAAAATTATTTTTGCTTCTGGTATTTATGTGTTAGTTTTATATAACTCTCTATTATCTGATACAAAAGTTAATAGTGAAATTATGAATTGAGAATGTAATATGTCCAAATACTTAACCATTTCTCTACATGAGTCTTTTTCTTTCTTGGAATTAGTGATAATTGTTATTACCCTTTTTTGCAATCTAAGTATACTGTCACTATAAGAAGAGGTCCCCCAGAAAATAAACCCATACATCATAATGCTGTGAAAGTAAGCGAAGTAAATCATCCTCAAGGATTTCAGTGATACAAAGGCTCTAAGTGTCATAATTGCATAGGAGGCTTTACATAATTTTACCTTGAGACCGTGAATATGGTTTTCCCAGGACAGGGGATCATCAATAGTAATACCTAAAAATTTTGTCTCTGTGTTGTTACTGATACATTTGTTGTTATAACTGATGTTTATTGGAATAGTTAAACTATTCATCGTTTTAAATTGTAGGTATTGACTTTAATTAAAATTTACTACTAACAGATTGGTGTTAAACCAATTATTTAATTAATCAAATAAGGAGATGAAGTCTTCTTTAAAATTTATACAATTAGTATTATTAACAAT